TCCGTACAGACGGACGAACGGCCGTACGGGCGTACGAACGACGGCCGTCCGAAGGTGTTTCACGGGGAAAAAAAATCAAAAAATCAAAATAAAAAAATAAAAATATGGGGTTGTATATCTTTTCGAGATCTAGAACCCCATTTATTTGTTTCTATTTTTTGGCCTTAAAGAGGATAAAAAAAAAAACAAAAGCAAAAAAAAGAGAAAAAAAAAAAAAAATCGGTAGCCAAAAAAAACGGGCAGTTCCCCCGCATGCGTGGGTGTGTGTGTGTGTGTGTGTGTTCGCGGGGGGAGGCAACCCCCCCCACTTCATATCATTCAATCAATCAGTCAAAAAAAAAAAAAAAAAAAAGGCCACTCACGTTTCTGCGTATGTCACGGTGTCAGGCGGGCACTAGCAGTGCGCCGCCTGAGAACCGCAGTTTTGGGACTTAGGCTCAGGGACGGATCTGTGTTTTGATGGTAGTCTCGTATGACCAGGCAGCCAAAAATTAGGGGAACCCAGGGCACCCCTGATTTTGGACGCACTGAACTTTATGAGTAACCCTCAGAGATGGCGAGATGGGTGACCGGACTCGGCATGTCTAGGGACTGTCATTTCCGACCGTTCAGAGGGTTAGACCCGGATTGACCTGCCGCGGGGAGGCATTAAGGGAGTTGACCTCGCCGCCACGTTTTGTAGCGTACGACCGGGGCGAAATGCGGCCTCAAATTTTTGTCTATTTCAGTACCGTAATTAAAGATGGGAAGAGGGGTTAAGACCAGTAGGGGAGAAGGGAAAAACATAATATCCCCTAATTTTTTTATTTTTTCACAGCATTTAATTCTAGGGGGAATACCGTTGTTATTTTATTTTCTCGACAATTAAATTAAAAACATAGAAAAAGATTAAAAATCGTAAAAGAGACACAAGGAATTCGGTCATTTATTTAAACTTTTCCGGGATTGAATTTTATGGAACTTACGATTAATTTACTATTTCCGACAACTGAATTAAGGAAAGGGGAGAATGATTAAAAACGATAAAAGGGACGGGAACCCATGACTATTGGGAGATTGGGCTAATTTCGCCTTGATTACCCGCCATCAGCCCTGACCCCGGATTGAGCATTTTCCCCGGATTTTATTAGTTTCCACTACTGCCGATGGCCGAGGCTCCCTGTGTCGTTTTCGCTGGTTTGCTTGATTACTAACATTATCGCAGTTGGGATGTTCTGAGAGCGGGGGTCACATGGACAGGTGCTGCCYTGGGTCGACTATGGTGTTTGGTTCGGTACGGATACGAGGGTTGTTACGGAGAGGCTACGTCCTACGGTGTCTGACGTGCTTCAGGTACGGTATAGGCCCGGTGACAGCTGTTTCACTAAGGTGACTTATTTTYWGGTTCGGGACAGCTGCGGTGATTTATTCTCAGGACCGGGGCCACTACGACAGTTTTTCCAGGTTTGGAACCTTGGCGGCAGTTTGCTTCAGGTCCGGAATAGGTTCGGTACTACCCTGGTTTTTCAGTTTTCTACGGTATCCAGCATCGGTATGATACACATCACTACACCACTTTCAGGTTCGC